ACAGACAGGAAAACAGAGCTCAATCCATTTTAACATCATATGGCCTCCATAACATTCCTTCAAAGCTAATTACGGTGTACAGGCACCTTGTTTTCCAGGAGAGATTTCCTTCTTGTGCAAGAAGTAGCTTCAGTACTGGTGCTGTATTAAACAAATTTGAGGTGAGGAAACATAATGCTGGGATTGGAAGAACAAGACTGACATGTAAGCATGGGACTTAACAAGTCTGATAATCTTTTGTCTTTTTTATAAGTTTTAGTAAGTTTTAATAAGTTTTTGGTCAAGAAACACTCAAAGAGTTCACATACCAAGTCAGGTGGGAAGGTTCTTTGACACCAATTTTTTTTTTTTGATCCTGACTGACTGCTTGTTCTGCATAAAGATGCAAATATTGTCTTGTTAGCATTGTACCACTTCATCATCTTTAATTAATTTTTTTCCTGATGCTCCTTTTCAAACTTTTTGAAAGGACATGATCTTGGTGACTCAAAAATATGAAGCACAGTTTTCCCCACAAAACTTCCTAGAATTTGACAAGAGCTTTTATGTCAGCACAGAACTATCTGTTTCTTTGGTGTATATATACGAGCTTTATTCTTGTTTATAACGTTTTGTAATGATTGATAAGTAGGATGGATCACATGAATCTCTCTGTTTATTGGGAAGATACAAACATTGTTCTGTAGAGATCAGGCAAAAAGATGCATTGCTGGTAAGAGATGCAGGATGTTCTGTGCCATGCCTACAAAGGAATTTAATGTTCAGCACTGCTTGCTGTCCAGTGATAGAAAAATCAAGTGAGGATGGGTTGGAAATGACTGTCATAGTCCTGCCAGACCCAGTCCTTTGATTTGGAACTTCACAGGTTGCATGTCTATTTTTGCTCACAGAAAGCCAGTGAAAGGTGACAAGCTATGCCCCAAAGTGTGAAGCTCAGGGAAGTATCTCAGCTGTCAGAGAAAGAGATCTGAGTCCTTGGGACCAGTTGCCAGAGGCTCAGCTGGGCAGTGTGCTTCCTTTAGCTGTAATGCCAGTGCCTTTATAGCTGTTTGCTTTTGAGACTTTACCAGTGTTTCTGTCTTTGTAGTATATTCCCAGCATTTCCTCCAAATGTTATCAAACAAATAATATCTGAACTGAAGCCTCACAGACTGGATTATAAATTGTAGTTTTGTAAAGATACGGTTGGGTTGCAGCAGCTGCTAATGCAGGCTATTTCTGTGCCGGCATGTACCTGAAGACAAATACAGACCCAACATGCAGAAGGCATCTGGTTTTATTCCAGTGACATATGGCAACTTCATGACCTTATCCAGAAGTTACCCTCACAGCAGCATAAGCCAAGGGCAAGGTCAGTCAGCCAAATGTGGAGGGAATTATAGGTTTTAATATCTTCTCTGACCAAGAAGGTGTTTTGCAATCACAAGGAGTACTCACAAAGCTGGGTAATTTTGCAGAGGGCAAGTATACAGATGCTGTGTTGTGGTTAAGTCTCCCATGCTTGTACATGACCGCGCTGTAAAAGATGAGGCAGACTGTGAGTTACAGGTGATGATTGCAGGGTAGCTAGATAGGCTTCCGTGAGATATACACCTATAACTTTGGACAAATAAATGGTTTAACTTTTAGGTTCTGCTGTGTGGATACAGGAGTTGTACTTGATGACTCTTGTGGATACCTTCCAACTCAGGATATTCTATGACTATATGATTCTAATTCACAGGGCTGCTCAACATGTGAGGCAGATTGCTGTATTGTATTATATTACCCTTCCAATTGATGGAAGACAAAATGTGAAGTTGTTGTTTATTTGCTCGGTGTATGAAATTTGTGGGTGTAATGATCCAGATATACAGCCTGACAGTATGAGAGTCAATGAAAGAAGAATAATGAAATACAACCTTAGCATTCTGAAATACACCAATTCAAAACAAAAAGGACCCCCCAAATAAGTCTAGATAAACAAGTGTGAGAAATTACTTCTAATTCTGTTTTGGCTGGCTTCTTCTGGAGGTGAGAGAAAGCTATTGTCACCTATAGGTACCATTAACACTTCTCAGGGGCAACAGAAATCTGTATCTCCTTGATGAGAATAAAGTCATCTCAAGAGATAGCCATCAGATACTCAGAGGGACACCTAAGTGACACTTCCTCAGTATCTGGTACCTGGAAATTAGCTTTTACGGGCTTGTGTGTGCACCTTGGTGCACTGCATGGCCTTATGCAAAACGAATCCGTTCCTTTAAACGGGCAGTGCTAATGGCAGATGGCAGCATCCCCCTGCAGGTCTGTGCCTAGCAGCACAGCTCCAGCTCCAGGGCTCTTGGCCGCAGAGAAGGCAGACTCTCCACCACATTCTTCTCTCCTCTGGCCTCTTATCAGCTGTGGCATGCCCCAGGAGTGATGGAGGCTGGAGCGATTGCAAGAGCAAAGCCACTGAGGCCAGCTGCAGGCAGCACCATTTGTTTTAGTTCTCGAGTCACCTTCGAGGAGGAAAATATCTACATCTCTGAGGCCCTGTGGATCATCTGATAAATACTTTGAGGGTCTTCCCCCTGCCCAAATGTGGCTGCTTATAGAGGGCACATGCATGAACTTGCAGCGACAGATGTCTACTTTGCTGGGATGTGCCATGTTTGACAGAGTGGTCTGTGAGTTAGCAAGAGGCTGAAGAGTAAGCATTACTGTTTGCTATAAACAAACCTTAGCAAAGTGCCCGTAATTGCACTGTTAGAAGGTTGGCCAGGCCTAGATGGTAACAGGGGAGGAAAATAATGTTCTCTTTTATCTGTTCTTGCAAACAGCTGGAGACAGATAAAAGCGGAGACAGTTTTAACCTAAGCAAAGATTGTGACTGTGTGCTGTCCTTTGTTCCTCAGTGCTTTCTGTTTTCCTCCCTCTAAGTTAGATTTTTATTTGCAAATGAGACTATGCATGGGACAGCTTCTGCATGTTTTTTCTTTTTCCCCTCTTATTGTTTTTCCTTAACCTAAGGAGATTTTCCTTCTAACTTGGCTCCTGTGCCTGCTTCTGCTTCAGATGTGTGTGAGGAATACAGACTGAACTTCCTTCTGCCTACACCTCACCAACTTCCAGACCTCTGACACAAAGACACGATGAATATCATCCACAACTGATACTGGGGAAGTAATTTTGCTGTACTAAGGTTGACATAAAGCCATCCTGAAGCAGAATTTTCAGATTTTCCAGTAAGAGAATGCAGTGGGATAAGATAGAAAAGGAACTGTTATCTTAAAATTAAACAAACAAAAACCCTTTGTTTTTTCATCCAGAGAATATTTTCAAATTCTGCCATTCAGAGTTAGTAATAAATTGCACGGACATAATTAAAACTACTTAGGCATCTAAGTTCCCCATGCAATGTTTTGAGACCGTAAACAGAAACATGCATCTAATCTGATGCCCTGTACAAATGTTCTGGTACAGCAGGAAAATATTTCTTTGCTGGACATTTCAGTTACTCTAATTCTGCAAATCAGACCCACCCAATAATGAATAGCCTCATCAGGGCGACTTTTGCAGGCACATAGGCTCATCTACACAGGGAGTTATTCCACTTCAGTTTTTCATGATTAAATCTGCTGTGGATGTTATTGAAACAGAAATAGCTGTTCTGTTGTAAAACCTGTATTAAAACACTTCTTTCTTTTGTTAATTGCAGTCTTTAATGGCTCCATATTTTTCTCTATGGGGATAAAAAAAAATATTACTTCAGATGTATTTTTACTGTACTATGCACTATCCTTTAAAAAGTAAAGCCTATTTGAAGCACGTTACAAGCTGAATTGCCTACAGATTTCTCAGGTATGCTTTATGGCAAGCCAAGATGGTTTCACAGCGGCATTCCTGAAATTTCAGCATCTGGTAAATAAAGGCACAACTATTTTCTTCCAGACGTTCTCTTTGATATTTAATTATCCTAAGATGATACGTGGAAACACAGTCTGACAGGTACAGACCAGTTTGTGTGAAATAATGGGGAAAAGACTAATTCTGGTCCAGTGTATCTGATGTGAAGAGTGAGAAACCTTGTCTCTCAGCACAAATATAGGGTTTGGAAAGGAGTAGACTGGATACTTGAAGTATTTAACACGAGTGTGTTTTTACACAATGACTCCATATAAAATTCTGATTCAGAAGAGTCATAGATTTAAAGGCAGGCACTATATTATGTAATTTGTTGGTATTGCATCCTTTTCTGCTTAAGAACTGGATTGGTTCTGTTTGCCACCAAATAAATAAAAAATTTTAAGAATATATTGAACTTTTAAAAGACATAAAGAATTTTCTTCTCAGTAATGTGTTTTTAGTCAATAAAATTATGAATCTGATTGTTTCTATGTGGCACTTCCACTTTAAAAGGATGAAGATATATTTTAGTATTATCTTTGCAATTTTTTTCAAAATAAACCTTTGTCTGCTTTATAAACTTGCATTAAAATGCACTTACATGTTCAAACATTTTGTATTTTGTAGCCTAGATATACTAATTTTTGGATTATATATAAATCAAGAAAACTTTTCTGTAGAAAAAAATTAAACTAAGTTGCTCTTTGCTGTTATTTTAAAAAAAGAGACACTCATATTTCTAGGATATGAAGTAAACCCTCAAAAGACAAATAACCATCACTTATGTGTTCTTAATATACATATGATTCCTGCCAGGCAGATTATGCATAAATACAATTTTCCTGTAATAAATAAGACTAAAACCTGAAAGACTATGGAACTTTTACAGTTCTCTATATTAGGGCTTGAAATATATTTACTCTTAAACCTCTCCTTATGTCGTCAAATTTCTGTTTGTTCATTCTACCCTGCACTTTTCTTACATGAAAAAATATAATGACAAATGGTAGATAGGAATTTTCAAGTTTAAATAAAGTTAAACATAAAGTTTTCAGAAATGAAATCAGTTTTATTTGTTAAAAGAGTTGTACTGTATACATAAGAAATAACTATAACTTGCAATACTTCAGGCATAAAATATTGGGGGGGTTTGCTTCCACTGGAAGAGCGGTATTTTGGAAATAAAAGAATCATTAGAATCAGACATTGATAGCAGTATTAATATAATAATATAATAATAAATACTTCACATTCATATAATCTGAATTTATAATAAGCCGGTTTTCTCATCTTAAACTAACACATCTTAATCTGCCTCCAAGATGCAGGTAGAAGAGTCTTCCGTATTTCATAGAAGAAATGTATGATTCACGGTGAGGGTTATACCAACCCTGAGTATTTCCCCTTGTCCAGTTTCACAGCTGCCAGCTAGCAGAACTCCAGGAGGATGGTGAGCAGGCAAATGACTGAAAACACTGTTTGCTGTAATCTTAAGCCATTAGAATACAGTCTGATAATTTCCTCTGTTTCCGATTTCAGTTCTTAAAAGAAATAAAATCAAGAAAGTAAAATGGTTAATTAGTAAATATGTAAATTTGAAAACATAAGGATTTTCAACATACTTGAAAAGTCCTCTGACATCTCACAGGTACTTAAGTTAAAGGTATCAGCTGTTAAAGCCAATCAAAGGGACTATTCTCAGGGGAGAAATGTAAATAGATGTCCCATCAATGATCGTTTGAGGAGCAACTGATAGCACTTATCAGCTCTTGCAGGCATTAATCTCAGAATAATCAAAAGTAAATACCAAGCAAAAGCAAGAGGAAGAACTTCACAAGAGGTAAGCACTCAAGCCTGAATGTCGGCTTTTAACCCTTCCTTTAACAAGGGACTTCGCTTTTAGCAAAAGCAGAGAAGCCATACCCTCCTGTACGCGAAAGCCACGGAGTCCCTACTCAGGGGATTCTCTGCTGGGACCTTTATCGTTTTTCTTAAGCTGAGCTCAAGAGTAGTAAGCAGTAGACTGATTTTACAGAACATGGAGAGGCCCATTATGTCTTTTGCTCCTGTAATGAGGAACAATAGGGCCGATTCCAAGGTGAACTTGTAAAGAGTTTAATGAGCAAGCTGTGTGCCATATACATGCTCAACACAGAAAACTTCAAGTGTTTCTTGTGGATTTTTTTTCCTCTGGGGTTACAAAGATAGGAATGTCACCTTTCTAATGTTTTGATTTACATTTGAGTTGGTGCTACACAGCTCAGAAGCCACAGCTTCAATGCACTGCTACTCAAGTAGGAATCTGGTCAGGAAACGAGAGACTGCTTGGGGTGCAAATGAATCTTGAAACCCTTTAGATGTGTTGTTTTCATACCCAGCCAAGTAGTGATGTTGGCCAACTGAAGGAAAGCACAGGATGGGATTGGGATATTATGGGTGGAAAGGGCAAGAACATTTTGCATCGATTTTGCCACTGAGGAGAAAATATTTACTACTACTACTACTACTACTAAATAAATAAATCCTTACTTGTGATCTCAAGAGTAATGAGAGCACTCTGGATCAGTCAGATCTCCATGGAAAATAATACTAGTGTAGCAACGCTTTAAATCTTTATGCTAATTGATAAACTGTTTTCAAAAATATTCAACTATATATTCAGGGAATTTCACAGGCTGATATAGGAAAGACTTGGCTTAAAATGATATGGTGTTTTTCAGGAGACTAAGCGGCACTGCTTTACACTGATCAGGATAATGACTACATTTTTTTTTTTTTTGTGGAGTGTGTTCAGTCTTAAAACTCATACAAGAATATTCTAAATATTGAGACACAGATCTTAAAAAAAGATTCAGTTTTGTGTCATGATTCAGTTTTATGTATGATGATTGATGATTCTGTGTGTTAAGTAGACACAATTTTTTCCTCTAGTGAAATACCAGTTTCTACTTCTACCACACCAGTATACATTACTTTTTTTTCTTCTTTATCTAAGAAACATGTTTGTGTGCTTGGATTTAGTATAATTGTAGAAATTGTCCTGGTTAAGTGGGAACTCATAGATGTACAGATTTTGCAGAACAGAGAAGTATTTAACCTCTGTAATCTTCAACTAGAGTGGCAGGAGGTTTCCTACTGTACAGAATTATGAATACCTGAGAGTGTCTTATGTGACAGTCAATGCAGTCAAGAGCAGTGCTTTTTACTGTCTCACTAATGCATTCTCTGAAGCAAAGCAACCCACTGTAGAAGTCCAACTCGTGCACATACAGCACCCTCTGAGTACCCCAACACTGCAGAAGGCAATTCTGTCACCCACGGGATAAAAATATTAGATTTAATGCCATTTCTTACCACAGTTACCCTGCACTATTTCTGAGAGACAGTGCAGTGTACCAAAGCCACACCGACAAAGCCAACAGCCCTTCAGCACCCAGACGCCGTGGGCAATGCTGCCGCAGTTGCTGTCAACGACAAGAGAGATATTTGGTACATCCCTGACCCCACCACAGAAAATAGCCATCCAGAGCACCACATTCATTTCCTAGTTTTGCTCAGTTTTTTTTTTTACCTTAGCCTCTCATCATGTTCACAGTATCTTCCAGTGAAGTGCTTTAGGCAGGCACAGAAGGTCCCCAGGATACAAGTCCCTCCATTCTGGCAGCAGTGTCTATTCAGTTTTTTACCTTCAAGACAATATTACAGAGGTTAACAGGCATCTCAGGGGCTCTGAAACCTTTTCCTCACTTGTTCTCTCAGGTCTCTCCAGTTCCTGAAGTCTCTTAAGGATATCTAGTTTTATTGTCTTTAGAGACAATAAAATTATATGCCTGTTAGGAGTGTTTGTTCAGCTAAACCCAGTTTGTTTAGTTAAGGATTAGAAACAAGCTACTAGGGATTATAGGACAGTGAAGAAGCAACGCCTGGCAAATTCTGTAGCAGCAGGATGTGTTCAAGTGAAATATTTCACTTTGACAGATACAGGTTTCAATCACACTAAGAAATGGAGCATTTTTACTGGGAGGTGATGGGTGATGCTTATTTTGGAATAAAGAGGTTTTATTACTGGGAAGTTACTTGGTTTTGAGGCAGGGGGAATGCTGACTTAAAATTTTCCTGGGATTGAGCACCAATTTAAAACTTTATATATATGGGAGGAAACAGAATATTTTTTTTTCCCCGTTAGTACTGTTACTTTCAGGCAACTCAAACCCTTTTTTTATAAAATAAACATTTTTATGGTCATGAAACACCGTGAATTTTAGAAAATATACAGAATGTAACAAAATTTCACAGATGCTCTTGTAAACACAAAGGGCCAAACACTTCTTCATTCTTAATATACTTCCTTGTTTTTCCTTAACACATTTTGCAAGTGAGACCTTCAGTTCTACCTTAAATTTTTATTGCCATTTACTAAGTGGCCATGGATATAATTTAAATGGGTGGCCACAGAAAATCAGCAAGCTGGAATCTTCCGGGACAACAATTAAATCATTACTATATTAAATTTTTTAAAAGTAATTTTATGTCATTGTTTACAAAAATAATGTTACCTACTCTCTGTAATTCCAGTGAAAGGTACGAATGACCTGGAACTCTGTTGCTTTCTACTTTCGTAACTCTGATTCATGTCACTGAGGGCATTTCTAAAGGTCCCTTCGTTCTTGAGCTGCTGCTTTTGTGCTGTGGCATTGAGACTTTTCACATCTTCTTTACGTTCTTCTTTTTCAGGGCCTTGACAAGAAGTGCAAATAAGTAAGGGAAGGGTAGTTTGTAATGAAGAAATGCACACTGTAAATGTAGAAGAAAAACTCAGGGGAGCGGGGAGAAACATGAAGTTTCCCTTACCTTTTTCTAAATGAACAGCCTGCCAGACCAGAGTCACAGTGAAAAGAATTCTGGAAAAAAAAAAAAGAGAAAAAAAACCCAAAACCCACAAACCATAAGTAAATTTGTGCTAGTAAGACACAAACACTAAAACGAATGGTTAATGTGTGAACTTTTAAAAGGTATAAGCATCTCTGGCTAAAAGAAAGTTCCCGGCATCTCAAGCAAACTTACCTAACCTGATTTCCCCAGTACATTTTCCTGCAGCCTGAAGCAGCCGTGAGGTCCTCCGGGAGAGCTTGAGCAGAAGGAAGATGTGCAGAGCCCTTTACTTCGGGCTGTTGCATGCGGCAGTCCTCGCACCATAAGACACCGGCGGAAAGAGAAAGCGGGGAAAAAGGAAATTTCCTCTAGCTGTCCGGCTTACAGTAAGGCTTAGTCGCCGACCTTACCGCTGGCTGAGCCCTCGCCGGGGGCCAGGAACATCCCTCCGGGCTGGGACTCCCTGGCCAGCCCCCGATTTACGTGCACTGCTGAAGGGTGGAGCAAGGTGGGGACACCTACTGCGGGGGGAGACTTAAGGGCCCATGAGCTCAGCAAAAAGCCCAAGGCAGGAAGATCTCAGGTCCAGTGTATTTCTCAAAACAGAAGAGTTTGTACCACCATCTACTGCATAGGAAAAACAAACAAACAAACAAACAAACATTCTACAGAACTGCAATAGGTGTATCATAAACTGGAGCGAGCAGGTATATATAATGAAGGTTAAAAAGCCTCAGCTCTACCTACACGCCTTGTCTCTGCCAGGGTTTTCCACCACGATCTGCTTTATGAGATTGTACTGCTTGGCAGCAGAGATCTTTAAAACCTGCTTTAAAGATTTCTACTAAAAATACTGGAAAAAACAGTATAAGGTCCTCAAAGAAGGATTGTTGTCTCATCAGAACTGTTAATAACTGTTAATTTCGAAACGTTTTCTGAAAATTTTTACTGTTAGTAAATTTAGGTCATTAAGTGGGTATTCCTAGTCTGAGTTTGTGCACTATCAGCAGATACCTAGGTATAATTATTACTGTGTGTACTGAAATGGGCTAGGACCACTCACATGGCTTTGCTATGACTCAGTATCATGAGCAAAAAGAGCTGCAGCTGGGCAGTGCTAAAAAAACAGCTCTGGGCAGGCTTTTCTCATCACATTGTCACATTTTGTACTATTGAGTGTACATGGCCTTTACTTAAGCTGTGGCAGGAAACTGCAGCAGTACAACTTGTTTTGTTTTGGAGGGGCCTGTAGAAGAGGGATGTTTTCAGTGTGTCACTGCAAACCAAGCTAGTACAAATTTCACTTTGGCTAGGTACAAGATCACACCTCAGAAGTATGCACTTAGCTGCACTGACTAAAGACATTATCATCCCTTGTTTGTAAGTCCCTGTGGCAGTCACTTGTCAGATTTGCCCCATCTGAACTAATGGTTTGGAAGCTGTGATAACTTCTCATTCAATTTGGTACAAAGGCTGGCTTAATTTACAAAGATTGCTGTCCTAATTAAACTAAAATAGATCTAAATTAGATTAGAACTAAAGCAGATGGAGAGTGTTTTGAAGACATTCTCTTACACAACTGTACAGTAGCAGGGGCAACAAGTTGCAAGAGTAGCTGGAAATTATTGTGAAATTAGAAAACTATGGCATAATTGCTATCACAGAAAGAGTAGGAAACACCATACAACTGAAGCACAAGCTATTCAGAAGCTCTTTATCTCCAGATTTGAGATGGGTGGATTTGATGGGTGGAGAGTGCAGTGGATAAGGAGTTGGCTGTCTGGCTGGATGCAGCCAGAGAGTTGTGGTCAAGGCCTTGGTGTTGAGGTGGAGACTGGTGATGAGTGATGTCTCTCAGGCTCTGTTTTGGGACCACCACTGCTCTGCAATGTTTGCCTCAATGACGCAGGCAGTGGGGTCCAGTGCACTCTCAGCGAGTTTGCAAATGATACAAATCTGAGCAGTGCAGTTGACTCAACAGAAGGATGGGGTGCCATCCAAAGGGACCTGGACAAGCTTGAGAATTGGGCCTATGAGAACCTTATGAAATTCAACAAGTCCAAGTGCAAGATGCTGCATCTGGGCTGGGGCATTCCCAGACTGGGAAGAAGTTGCAGAGAGCAGCCCTGAGAAGAGGGACTTGGGGGTTCTTGTGGATGAAGAGCTGGACAGGAGCCAGCAGTGTATGCTTGCAGCATGTCCTGCAGGTCAAGGGAGGTGATTCTGCCCCTCTGCTTCACTCTTCTGAGACCCCACTTGGGACACTGCATCCAGCTCTGGGGTTCCCAGCACAGGAGGGATGTAGACCTGTGACAGTAGGTCCAGGGGAAGCCACAAGGTATTCTGAGGGGTTGAACACCTCTCCTATGAAGACAGGTGGAGAGATTTGGGGCAGTTCTGCCTGGATAAGAGAAGGCTATGGATAAGAGACAGTGGTTTTACACTGAAAAAGGGGAGGTTTAGATTAGCTATTAGGAAGATGTTCATTATTGTGAGGCTGAGGAGGCACTGGTACAGATTGCCCAGAGAAGTTGTGGATCCCCCATCCCTGGCAGTGTTCAAGGATAGGCTAGATGAGGCCCTTAGCAACTGGGTCTAGTGTAAGGTGTCCCTGACTATGACAGGGGGGTTGGAACTCAATGATCTTTGGGGTCCCTTCCAGCTCCAGCACATTCTATGACTGTATGATGACACGCTCTTTCATGTCTCCTGTGAGTACACTGGTCTTCAGCAAGAGGACAGAACAGAATTGCTGAAGATTTAAAATGGCTGTTTCTACAGGGAATGCTTGCAGAGAGTGCTCTGCAGGGCTACACCAATCTTAGGGGATAAGGCATTCTCAGTGCTGCTGCAATTATTGGCTCCAATTGTTCTAAGCTCAACCATTTTCTGGTAGATACATGTTAACCCTTTATCTTCATGGCATCCTGTTTCATGGTGTGCTTTATGTTTGTTACTAACTTAAATGGATTTAGATGAAGCTATATTCTTCTATATATAATAGACTAGATTATATTGTATTGTACAGACTTGTATTGAAGTACCATGCCTTTTAGAATTGAGAGACTGATGTACATTTGTGTGCAATTCAGCTAAATCAGCACCAGAATTTTATCCTAATGTTTGTGGGTAAGATGTTTCACAGAAGGTGTGTTATGATAAAAATCACAACATGTTAATTCAGGAAGGGATTTTGGTTTTTCTGTCTTAAATAGCAACATCTTTGAAGAGACAGATTACTCACACACATTGTTGTCTGCCTCTGCCTGCTGTGGTTGCTGTAACTAAACATGCTGAAGTTTAGGTGCTTGCTTAAAACCTATCATATTTTAAAGTATTGTCATAACAACAGATACTGCTCTGAATTAGGACTATGAAATGTTTCACACAACTAAAAGAGATGTCATTTTTGCATGTATTCAGAAAACATGTATGTATTATCCTCACATGAAAATGTTTACTTTTAGAAAGTGCTTATAATTCAAACAACTCTTGTTTCCATTTGAGTTCTCTAACTGTATAATGGGGCTAGTATTTTGACTTTAAAAAGAAAACCTGTAGTTACATTTGTCCTAGGGTTTCTTTGTTAGTACATTAGGAAAAAAATATTGATTTTCAGTTAGGTCTGACTGGTAGTATCAATTTAAGTTACAATATTCAGATGCTTAAATGCTGTAATTTACTACTTAGCTTCTTGTTTCCTCTTTCCATAGATGGAAGACAGAAAAAACATAAACAGAGATAAGTAAACACAAGAACATCACATAGTGTTTTTTTTACTAAAACGCAGTGTCAATGTAGTTCTCCTAGAGAATTTTTTGGGTACCAAATTCCCAGCCCTGTACTAGAGGTAACATTCAAAATGCAGCTGCTGGTGAAGAAATACTGATCTATTTTCACACCCTGTGCCATTTGCTCAAGATCAGAAGTCATTCCTGTAACTGCAAGAGCTAACAACCTGGGAGAACTGTAAAGCAGTCGGTAAACATTTCTTGCTTTTGATACCTTGTTTCTTCCTTCTCCCTACAGCCTCACCATCAAGGAATAGGGTATTCCTCAGGCATAGGAATGGGGATAGAGAAAACTGCTCAGATGCTGCTGTTGTCTGACTGCACCAGAGGTGAGATTGGTGTGACACTGCAGAAAAGTGCTGCTGTTTGTTGTTGACAGAATCTGCCAGAGAGTGATTGCTTCTGCCCAGGGATTTGTGAGGGGCGGCAGTAAGGGTAGACACACTCCTTTTATCAGCTTCAAGTAAGATAAGAGTGGAGCCAACCAAAGCGCTGGTCCTGAGCATTTCAATCAAGCCCTGCATACACAGGAGATGGCTAACCATTAATTAGGGCTGCTCAGCACAGTTGGTTCTGACAGCGGATCAGGTAGCCTGTATGGGTAAGTGTGGCAGGAAAATGTGGTGCTACTTTATTGGTGCACAAAATTCCTCTTGTTCTCATGCCAGGAACTGTAGTCTGTGGCCTGCATCTTCTGGCACTCTCCCAAAATGCAAATGAACCACTACACTGAGGGCTGAAATGTGGATACTACATTATGGGTTTTGGCATATTTGTGTTTCATAGCTACTGTATTGCTCTGTAGATACCCTGTATTTCTGAAAACTTCGGGATAAATAGGTGCCTAAAGACTGGAGGTAGCATTGGAAAAATCAGAAGCAAGGATGAAGAAAATCTGAGTGTCTGTGTTTTTGTGGGAGCAGTTAGGAAACCTGCATAGGGTCTGCTCAGCTCTGGTCAGTGCAGCCAAAATATCTGCTGACTAGAAAATTCCAAAATTCCAGGTTTGGATTAGGACTAGATCTCTAAACAAACTGGGCAATGTTAAATCAGATGTGCAGAATATTATGGAAAATAATGAAAAACAATTAGCCTCCATGAACATTTATTGAAATCTTGGTATTACAGACTTTAGTGAAGCAAAACTCTCAGTCAGGGTTATCTGAGGAAAGGGTAGACCCTGGGCAATTTATATGGGGATGTCTCAGACTGTGTTTAACTCATTCAGTGTTGAGAATAGTGGACAGAAAGATGTAATATTAGCCAGCCTGAGAGTTATTTGTTTATTTTTTATGGTCTTTGGCTTGCTACTAAGGCTTTTGACATCTACCCAAGTAGATTTCTTTCTAAAGGCTACATAAAACTTCTACACAGTTGGACTGAATGATTTTTACAATATCACAGAACTTTCTCAACAGAGGCTGGTCAGACCAGCTCTTATTGCTGTCAGAAATTTCTTGTAGGGTCACCTAGAGAGGTTGCTGTTGTTGCCTCTGCATTTCTGTGTATGCATACACAGTGTGAATGAACAGTACAAACTACCCAAACAGCTTTTTTTGCTCCACCTTAAGAGTGGCTTACCTTAGATTAGCTGAAATTGGCCACTAATTGACTGAGAAAGTAATATACAGGAAAGTTAGATAATCCAT